GGTACAGAAGTTTTATTCATACTTGAGAAGCGTTACTAGGTCTTGTCCAGCACAACTTGTGTTATTCCTGCCTTCACTCTAATTGTAGCAGGGGCATCCCAAAAAAACAAAAAAGCAGCTCAGTTAAATCAAAGCAGTACCTAAAGTTCAACCATGTGTTCCAGTGTTCACAGGTGTTCACACGCTTTTCCAGCAGGTGAAGAAAAACAGCTGATAGCCTGTTTACTGAAGGAGGCAAGAGGTCATTTACGCTCTGCAACAGCGGAGGTTAAAAACACACTGAACCTTGACCTCAATGTTCCTTGTTAGGAATTTCTGACAGAAATAACCTGAAGGTTGCCGTTTTACCTTGCGTTGTTGCATTAGGAATTTAAAGGTGGGGAGAAAATTACAAAAGCAGAAATATATGGGTTTCCTTCATAATCCTTCGATAACTGAATTCTTCTCGTCTACAACTGTTGTAGAAACTAAGTCTGCTTCCATTTATTTAACCACTGAGAAACAGACCAAACCCCTCATTTGGCCTTTTAGGTGGATTCCAGTTCCTTTAACTGAAATTCCAGTGACACAGTACTTATTTTTAAACCCCATCCCTGAACAGTTTCGCGATCCGTCCCGCTACAAAGTCTACTTTCAGCCAGACAGGCATCAAGTTACAGAAGCCAGATTCCACTGATGGGACTAACTAACTGAGTCAGTGCGTGCACAACAAAACAAACGCGCTCAGATTTTCCATTTGCCGTGAAACTTGTCTGATCTGGGTCACATTTTTCATCAGACTGGTTGGAAAAATTCAGATGAGTGTTTCTTATCCATCCATGTCTAACCCCGCTTATCCCATTGCGTAAGGCTAATAATGCCAGTCACTGTGATGAAACTGCCATCACACGTATATAATCTTGATCTTAATCAAAGATAATGAAAGGGAGATTTAAATACAATTAAGTGTTCGGCTTTTTGATGATCTCATCTTGACACTGGGTGTGTCCTGCTGGAAAAGTCCATGAGACTCGCCTGACTTTCCAGACCTACATCAGAGTTTTCCCTGACCTAAATCTGTTCTTCCATGCTGGTTTGTTAATGCTGTTTTTAGCCAGCTTTCTGCTCCAGTTGGGCTCCAAACAGTCTACCTTTCACAACACACTGGAAAAAACATTCTGCTTTATTCCTGTAAAGGGACCTAGCTGCAAAAGTCTCTCCAGACAATGCATTATATTCTGAAACTGCCATATGCTTCGATTATTAATAGAGAATTTGCAGCCAAATAATACAAAACAAAAACCTACAACCTATTGTAGTTCTTCAAAATGAGTGTAGCGGTGCTCCAATTTTTTTTTTCCAATAGGCAAAAAGCTACAGTGATAAGCTAACACTAATTAGTTGTCTGGCTATAGCATATATATATATATTTTTTATTACAGTATTAGGCTTCAATTTGGTTTCCCGACTGAACTGCACATCACAGATGAGTAGTTAAAGGACCGTTGGAAAGTTCAAAATCCAACTATTCTCTTGCTTTCTACAGTTTATGACTCTACCAAACAGCATGATTCTGGCAAGAATTTAAAGACAGCATGCCTTTTACACGTGACGACAGATGTTGGCTGTCAGACAGTTAATAAACATGAGTATCTAGGCACATGCATATGTATTGTCTTGTCCACTATTTGTTTCATTTATTATTTTTTTATTTCCTGCCTTGCACATACCCGACTATTCCCTTGGTCACATACATGAACACACAGCACCCTTACACATTCACAGTATTTAATATAATCATACAATATTGCAGTTATATTATTTACAGTGGTGTTTTTACAATACGGGTAGCACAAAAGGTTGATACAGGCCTATGCTCAGATGACTAAACACACGATAAAACCAATTACAATCACTGTTCTCATGAGGAAGGTATTATGTTGTTTAATACCAACAGGCTGATCTCTGTTGACTGTAAATGATTCCCCCTCTCTCTCACTTAAAGTACATTCATTGTTCAAGAGAACCACAACAACTGAATGTTCTCAGGAATTGCTCAAACATCCACACACACCCCCGGTGGAATCTTCTGCCATATGATACATCATATGACCCTGAAATCCTTGCAGAAGCCCGGTGGAAAAGCAGCAGGATCACGGAAGAAAGGAAACAAGGAAAAAACAAACACAAGTCTTTTTTTTTTTTTTTTTTCCGCTTTGCCCTTCTACTCCGTAGTTTACCGTCTTTGAGCAAAACCCTTACAGCAGCTCACCTCAATACCCTGTGCAGGCACGAGACTCTTAAATCGTGAGCGTATCAGGTGTTGGTTGTGCGTTCACTCACAACGATAGACTGTCAGGATTGGCTGGATGATGTTGGTTTCACACCTATGCAACTTCTGTATGTGACTTCTCGGTTTCATTTTTTAAACTACTCTACAAAGAAACTGACAAACACACAGGTGCCATTGCGTGTTGACTCTGGCTGAGCCTTGAGATCTCATCCATGAAAAATCACAAAGACAAGAGACAACCTTGGTGGAGGCCAGCATCTTCCAGAAATGTGCTTGACTTTGTGCTAAGAATACCAATTCGGCTCTTATTTTGGTTGCACAAGGACCAGGTGGCTCATAGCAGCTGCTTCATTACCCCATCCTCCCACAAAGCTGTTAAGGGCCTTCTGCAAATCTACATGTGGACTAGATGGTCAAAATCTGCCAGGGTAAAATGCTCCATCCATCCATCCATCCATCCATCCATTATCTATACACCGCTTAATCCTCACTAGGGTCGCGAGTGGGGGGGGGAGGCTAGAGCCTATCCCAGCTGACTTAGGGCGAAGGCAGGGGACACCCTGGACAGGTCACCAGTCTATCACAGGGCTACACTTAGAGACAGACAACCAAGCACACTCACATTCACACCTACGGACAATTTAGAATCACCAATTAACCTCAACATGTTTTTGGACTGTGTGAGAGAACCCCCACTGCACGGGGAGAACATGCAAACTCCACGCAGAAAGATCCTGGTGCCCCCACCGGGACGCGAACTGGCGACCTTCTTGCTGCGAGGCAACGGGTAAAAAGCTCTTCCACACAAATTGTTCCTCCGGAATCCGAGGCTCAACAAAAACTCTACTTAAACACGATAACCTTCCCATTGAAGCTCTGGCTGTTTACCACTGTCTATTGTTCTACAATACATTTTTCCGCGTGCACTGACACCACAGCTTTAGTCATTTGTTCAAACCACTTTTCTCCCACTCTGCCACGCCTTCAGTGACTGTCCCGAGAGTTCAAACTCAGTTCGAATGAATCTTTACCAGTAGCACAACTTACTGGCTGTGTTTTAAACAAGAGAGAATCCATTTACTGAGGGTTTACCATAATATCATTATTCCTCAATGACTTTTGAAACTGAAAAGGTTATTTATCATTCATCCACTCTATACTTAAATTTAAAAAAATCAAAGATATAGAGACACACGACAGCCCACTGACTACACTTATTACTGTGAATGCACCTAAATTAAGTGCCAGTTCTCCCCTTTGACCAATTCAAGCCCATTCAGGTTACTAAAAACTGCATATCATAATAAAAAGCCTTGATAAAAAAAAAAGAGGCAAAGACTCTGGAAAGACTGGTACACTTACATGACTCAGAGATAGTTCATGGGTTAAACAGGTTACTTAAGTTGGAGAGTTGCATGCAGTTGTTCTGGTACGCAACAGAAAGAAAGCAACAGTATTTCAGCATTAGATTCATGTAAATCAGGACCCACCTCTGTCCTCAAGGTTGAGGCAAAAGCATCACTGATACCTTTGAAGGAATAAAGTATGTCATGGCTTTTTCTGTGGGGAAAAAATGGTCTGTAACCCAAATACTGGCAAAATTCTGTAAATCTTAGACAATGGTTGCACATTTCAAATGTCTAGTGATTACTGTAAACATTGCTGCAGCCATGGAACTGACGAGGTCTACAGAGACTTGCTTTAGCCGCACTGCACTGCTCCATTGTCACTTTCCAGTGAGTCATAACTTGTACTTACATTCCATTCAGAGACTCATTAGTGTGAACTCAAGTGTTTGCTTATTGACGACAATTTGATTCTGAATGCCATGTATGCTTTTTCAACAGAGTACTGACTACTAAGGCTGCTGTGAGCATCAAAATGATACCTTTAAATGTGTTACAATAGGAAGGACATGTTTTTCTACCAAAGCTGAGACTAAAAAAAAAAAAAAAGCACAGTTGTTGGAGTTATGAGATATGTAACTCGCTACTGCAGTTGCCATGTTTTGTAGACATCATCCTGCCTACAATAAAATGACACGTCATGCTTAATTGATGGAGAAAGCGCATTACGACTGATGCTAAAATAAGCCAAGGTGACGAGCATCAGTTTTGTTATAAGAAAATCTTCAGTTATATTCTATCACTAATCAACACCCTGCCACGGTCAACTATCACAAGAATACGGGGAGAAAAAAGTAGATCCATATGTTTGGTGTGTTTACAGGCATGTTACTTGTCTGTGGAGTGTTTCTGAATCTATTGTGTTATGCAAAGGCTGGTAGCAAATGCCAGCTGAATGTTACTGGAAGCTTCCCAGTGATGCATCCATCTGTCTGACTTCATTCTTGCACTTCATCTGCTGTGATAAAATTAAACTGATGCAAGTTTAGCTGTTTGGTAACTGAGAATGACAGCTCAGTCTTCACCACAAAGTTATTATTTCAACTATTAACTCCATCTAGTGGTCCAAATCCGTAAAAGTGGGAGTGAACGTGGATGTGAGTGGACCTGCACAAAAGAGCACCAAACTCCATTTAAAAGTCAAGTGATTTAAGACTTTTCTGGCTCAGTGGCTTACAGATATATTTCACAAATCAGAACTTGGTGCTTTTTTGAATCCCCAAGCATCACTCTTTAATTCGGCACACAAACAGTACATTAAAAGATACTTACTTCAGTAAAATGCCAGCGTTTGTAGAAGGCTACATCTCATTTTAACTTACCTTCAGGCTGCCTTCATTAAACAAATCCTCCGGGACTTTACAGGCGATCAGGGCGTTCGGTAAATCGGTGAAGTGGACATCTACCGTGGCCTCCTCCTCTCCAGTATTCTCTGACTGCTGCATCACGACTTGCTATTATCTCTTTCTGAAAATAACAAGAGCTCATGTTAGCAAAGCAGAAATCCATATAAAAAAAACTTGACTAACGCCCATCATTCATGTCCCGCTAGCTGCTAAAATGAAAGTAGCTTTAGTTGCTATTTAATATCGTACTTACCGACAAAGCTGAGGGCGTTATTTCATGATAATATGGATTTAAACAGCTCGGTGTTTCCTCCAAACAGCCAACAGAAAGCTGCAAAGCTGCTCCTGAGAATAAAAGCTGCACTAAGCTGACTAGCGGGTTTATGCTAACACAGAGAGTGAGAAGATGCCGGAAAACAAGACAAACACACGATGTTCCGGGGAAATGTTTTCTCAGGCAGTCGTGGCTGAAGGCGGCCGCTTGGTCCTCGTTACTGTCCTCACCTGAAACCGCAGAGAATTCCCTAAAATTAACTACAATTGCAGCTGTCGGGTAATTTCAGTTAGCATGGCGCAGAGGATAAAGGAGGTGACGCACACGCAGCAGAAGCAATTTCCGGGTTTGCGGATGTTGTTTTAAAAAAATATTTTTATTTCTGTTTTTGTTGTTGTTTGTTAGTTTTTTTCCGGTTTGTGGACAGCAGAAACAATAATAACATTGGCACACATATAAATATTATTATTATTACATAAATTACAGTAAAGTGAACTCTGCTGTGGTAAATATTTCCTGTTAAGTTTACAACTATAACTTGATGTCAAATAACACTACCTGCAGAAATAGACTCAAGAGCATGAATTAATTTCTGTTAGTACATTGTTTAATTAAGGTCATGCCAATTTGATAGAATGAATACCCCTCCAAAAATGATGAGTAGGTTTTATTTGTCAGTTCTGAGAGCAGCAGGTGGATAGTGAGTTTGTCTTTTCAAGCTGCCATTCCTGTCCACCAGCATCTCTAGCAAACTAAGTCACATACGTAGAATTGGTGTATGTTAAGTAAATTAGAATAGCATTTCTTTGCCAGTTTTTACAAGGTAACATTAGCCGCCAGTATTCTTGATTTAGCATCATTAATAGATAGAACCAACAATATGTTACACTGTTCACATGTCACATTCAGACATTTTTTTCTTGTTTTTTAAATTCAGGTAAAGTAGGGCCCACCATGAGCTGTGCAAACCTCTGACCACAAGATAAGGATCTAGGAGATTCACGATCAGATGAATGGGTGGACCAGCAGCTGGGTCAGAATAACCCAACCAGCTGATGAGCCGCAAATTGAAATGAGCGTTAGACTCTGTAAGATATTTCAATCTCACTCTAGTTGGCAGCTATAATAGGCAGCTCTGTCGTAGCTCAGTGGTTTATTACACATTGCACACCTTTATATATGATTACAACTGTGTAAATCATCATAATTAAGACTGATTCCGATGCATTCAGTTCAAAAATCACTGTTTCTGCGAGCTTGCACCTTGCAGAGAGCACAATATTTCTCATTTCATATTCATTTCACTCTGAAACAACTTAAAAATGATGCAGTTAAGAGGCTGAAGTCTAAACAGTGCGACACTAATAATGTAAATGCTCACATTTCTATCATAATTGTTTGATGCTTAAGGCATGCAGGCATTATTTTAAGTCAAAACCCTGCCCTCTTGTGGCAGGTTCCAAAAATTCAGTCATCACAGTGGAAAGAGCAAATGTTAAGTAATGTGTTTTGATTTATTTAAATAATTGTTTTTCTTAACATTTTGTGCAAAAGTGCAAAAGAGATGTACATTGGATTCATTCATGTGTCCCATTAAAAACATCATAAGAAAAACCTAACCTATGTCCCACAGATGTATTCGTAAAGTAGTGCAGACAGAAAGTTGACAGCACTTCAACAGAATGTATTAAACCTAAATCTTTTAACTGTATGTGCTTCTGTGTTTTTGTTTTGTTTTTCTGGTGAAAGTATGCGTCATATGTAACGGTAATGTGTGTGTGTTTAAGAAACTCCAGCTCCAGTGGTACTGGTCCCTGGGTGGCAGAGGAGTTTAAGCTTCTGGTCATGTGGGGATCAGACTTCATTTAATCCTCTGGAGAGAGAGAGAGAGAGAGAGAGAGAAGGACTGAAAGGAGAAGGAGAGAGAGAGAGATTGTATTTATCGATGTCTAACTGTGCTCAAGGCGCAGTACTGATTCAAGAACCCCAAAGCAACAAGCAAACAGAAAAAGGGTGTGTACCTGTAAACCCTACACCTAAGACATATAAGGTGTCTTATGACTTTTGGAGGGGAAATCTCAGAATCTTCATTGAAATCTTTCTTCTGCCTGGAAATCTGGAACTTTCTACAAATCCTAGAGATCTTTTACGATTACCAAAGCTTGGTAAATTTCCGCCTCTGAACCATTCCAGAAACCAGGAATCATCTGAACATATTTCCTCGAGTAGCAACTTCAAGGATTTGAGACCGTCTGTGACTTTGGAAGCACTACTCCTGCTACTCCTCGGCTCTTGCGTTCAAACTTCAGAAACTCTGTAAGATTCCTTTTAAATATTTTCTGGAATACCTGCTTTTGTTTGGAACCTCAATATTACCAGAAACACTCCACTGAATCCTGGAAACTTAAACTGCTCTGCAGTTTTAGTCTTCCAAAATCCATCTTCGACCTTCTTCTAGAACACTACCCAACTCTTGACATCTTCTACAGCTGCACACTTCTCCTGGATACTTGGGCACCGCTTTTTCCTGAGTAAGTCTCAGTGTTTCTTCAAACTTTCCTGATGGCTCAGTCAAGCTCCTGTCCAAATCCAGACCTGTCAAATGTGACCATCGTCCACAGTCCGCTTTGTTCAGACCTGGATAGCCAGAGGGGAAGAGAGGATGAGGGTGAGGAAGAAGACGAGGAAGTGGAACTGGCAGAGGAGGTAGGGGAGGATGTTCTAATGATGGCCGAGGCAGGACATGGGGAAGCTGAAAGTGTAAGCAGAGAACGGAGTGAAAGGGAAGAAGGGAGGATTATCCAAGAGGCCCTGTTGCCAAATGGAGAAATGGGAGAGAGGGAGGGAGGAGGAAGAGAAAGACTGGAAGAAAATGAGGATGGAGAAGCTGAAATGGGGGATGAACAGCAAGAAAACATAGATGAAGAGACAACAGAGAAAGGATGTGAAGACAAAATGATGCTGACTGAAAATCCACGTCACTCACCCATACTGGTTGAGGAAGCTAACCAGCAGACATTAGACAGCAATGGAAAACATGAAGGAAAGATGGGAGATGAAGATGTGGGAGATGAACTGCAGGATGACCAGTCAGTAGAGAAAGGATGTGAAGATGCAAAGATATCGACTGAAAATCCATGTCATTTACTAATGTTAGTAGAGGACGCGAGAGTTGACTGGCAGATATTAGACAGCGATGGAGAGTGTGAAGGAGAGCTGTTAAATGATGAAGAAGAAAATGAACAAATGAAAGAAATACCGAGTGGAGAAATGGAGGAGAGCTGCAATGATGAATCAGTGCATGTTCATGATGGTCCTGTAGTGGAGTCACAACAGGGTGAAAAGTCATCTGATAATGACCAAGACAAAACTGAAGTTTATACTGGTGACGTAACAGGAGGCGTTGAGGATCTAGAAACAGATGTGACTCCTGTAACCACTGTGACAAATGAAGAAGTCGAGATTAACAGTAATCAAACCTCAGCTGAAGATGAAACGAACTCTGATGAAAAGGACAACTCAGAATTAGACGTCACACGGCAAGGCTGTGAGGCAAAGATTGAGGATGAGGAAGTCCATGAGATTGCGCAAGATGCAACAGTGGATTTTGATGATGTTTCTGACATTGAAGCAAATCAAAAGGTAGAACAACTAGACGTGGCCTTTCTGCCCTCTGAAGAGCAATCACAGTCAGAAGGAGGAATTGAGGAAACAAGGATCAACCAGAAGGAGGGAGAGCAGGAGCGACAGGTTGAGGCTAATGCTCTAGAAGTGATGGATGGGGGTGGACAGAGCGTGAAAGAGGAGGGGAGGAAAGGTGATAATGTTGTTAGAGAGTTAACAGGTGAGGAGGAGCGCAGTGAAATGCAGGAGGCAATGACCGTCCAGCTGGAAAACACAGCTATGGTGACACTTCTTGAACCAGTGGTCCACTGTGCAGAGGAGGTGAATGCAGACGCACAGCAAGATCTGGATCAGGTGGAGGAGGCGTTTGAACTAGACGAACAAGTTGAAGATGAACAGTTAAGAGGCCCACTAGATGAGAATGAACCAACGATTGATGGAGGAGGTGATTTGCAGCCCCTCAGAGAAGCAGGGACAGATTGGGGAGACAACCTACTACCAGAAAGGAGGCTTGGAGAAGATGGGGAGGCAGGAGGTGAAGAAGAAATGGAGGGAGAGCCTGTGACTGTTTTAGATGATGAGACTGAAGATGAAAGACAACTCGAAGAACAAACTCCTGCCACCATTACAAGCTCTCGGGACGATGCTATAGACGATTCTAAAGATGAAGAGTACCAAGAGCTGCAAGGAGAGAAAGAGAAGATGGAAGAAAAAGAAGAGAAGGAAAAGCAAAATGAGGACAACAGGGAGGTAGAGTTGGATGAGTTGGATATAAATGGACGAGTTAAAGGACTGAAGCAAGCAATGGAAAACGGGATCTTGTGTCCTGAACCGCAACCGATCTCAAAAGAAGGATGGGGGAAAACAAGAGTGCTGTCATCTAAGAGAAAAGACAATGACTGGATTAAAAAAGATCCACCAGCGGAAGAGGAGACAGCAGTAGAGATGAAGGACTGGAGGAAAGAACTGAAGCCTGTCAAAAAAGAGTGGGTGAAAAAAGAACCGCAAGAGAAAAGTCCGCCGAAGAAGCAGGACTGGATAAAGGAGCTGAAGTCAGTGATCAAGGATGACTCTCTGCCCAAAAAGAGAGATGATCAGATGAAGAAGAAGCGAGTGGTGCTGCTGGAGGACGGTCATTCATACATCCCCCAGCGGGAGGAGATGATTGAGGAGAAGCGAGAGGAGGTCAAACTGATCTCCCATAGGAGAGTGGAGAGTCCTTTACCTCCTGTGTTCAGGAACAGCAGAACACAGCAGGACCAGGACTACGACATCTCACTCTATGTTAAGGTAATGAACCATGAGCACACACAACCCCTCCAACACACACTGTATGTCCACCCAGACTGCTCATATGTATTAAAAATGATCATGGTGATCATTGATGCTTGGAGACAGAACATGTGTGTCGAGATGCTGCTGGTGTTTGAGGGCTTTTACTCAAACTGTTTCAGAGATACATCGATACCTTCAGCTGTTCAGGTCCTTTGTTGCTTCAGGTTCAGATCCGATTTTGCAGAACACACATAACCAACTGCAGCTGAGTGTCAATGCACCCACATGTTACGTCACTGGCCTGACTGCCATAATAAGGTTTTTAAAAAGATGGACCAGTTTGAGCTGAAGGTCAGAATGCTCCAATCAGGAATGCTCAAAACAGCTCCTGACCAGTTTTGGATCCATCATTAGGAGACGGGCATGACATTTGCTAGATTTAGGCCCCTGCTGAGCCAAGTCAGTTTGGTTACAGTGTTGTGGTTGTAGGTCCGGGCAGTGTACGGGTGTTACATTAATATTAAAGGTTTATTAATTTCTAGTAAGACTGGTGACAATGAAGACAAGAGACTTCAAAGGATTCTAACTACAGTGGTTGTGTGAATTACAGTAAGCTATATTTTGCCTTTTGAATGCAAAACACTTGTATGTTTGATTGTGTGTTTGTGAGAGACAGCAAGTGAGAGAGAAACCTCATCTTGATCTTCTTACCTTATCCCATTAAGACAGTGATGTCCTAATCCATCAGGCATGGTAACCTACATTGCCTCACGCATGCAATTCTAAATTTAGTGCACGCAATAATAGGAACGCATTTATTGAAGTAAATTTAACGTCCTTCTTTGAAACGTGACCTTCGGGAAGCTTATAAGGGTCAGTTTTTGTTCCACTTTCTGAATCAAACTTTAATAAACACCGACGAGGTTAACTCTGCAGCAACATTCCTCACTGAGGTGAGAATAAAGGAGAGCATTACCAGAGAGGTTTAACGCCAAGAAAAAATGCACTAATATCTGAGCACCGCCTCACACTTACACACAACAATCTCGCTCTCCGCTGGAGCTCACATTCAGACAATGGCCTCCTTTGTCAGGGACTCTGTTGGCAGCACAGACGGAGGTAGATGGAAATATTATAGAGGGGTTCAAGGTTGAGGTCCAGAAAGGTCGAAAAGTTTTGATTTGGTTTCTTCACCTGCACTGAGAGGATGAATCAATAGATATGTGAAAAGATATGAGTAAAACTATATGGTATAACTGTGGATAAAAGATTGTTTTAGTTTGTCATGAAACAGAATTCACTGTATGCTTTTCTTCTTGTTTTTTGCAAGTAACTAAGGAACCAGATTGAGAAAATGCCTGAACAGTGTATCAGTGCTGTGCTGCTGCCAGTAGCATACAGCCTTAATCCCCACATTCTCACTCTGTAAGCTGATTAGCCTGCCCTTTGGTGCTGAGAGCTCTGGACACAGCGGTGCTGCAAACAACACGTACCCACCTCACATTACACCCTGCATGTACATGGAGCAGCCCAGTGAAACAAGCTGACTAATGGCAGTTTACTGGGTTATTAATATATAAGGCCGGCATAATAAAATCAGATCAGTTTGAGTCAGTGCTGATCCTCTGAGCTGCACCCGGACTCACCTCCTACCAGCCTCTCACCCTGCGCTGTACAATGATGTTCAACAAACTTTTGTTTTTTGGACTATTTTTCTACCTGATCAGACTGATTTTATTGTCGTTTGAACACTGGACTCTGCAAACATTTTTAAATGTTGGTTTGAGAACGTTCTACTTTTGTTTTCATGTAACATAACATAATAACTTTTACCCTCATAGAATATTTGAAACATTCTTTGAACATTAGAGTATAATAAGTGTTTCCTTTTAACCATTTTTAGAATTTGTCGTTAAGGTAATTAAATGTTGTGGGAATGATCCCTGCTTGCTGAGATACTGAACAGCATGAACCTAATTACTCAGATGTATATGTAATTTTTGATGTAAAAGATACCAAACACTTCTTGCTTTCAGTTTTTTAAATGGGCTTTTTGCAGTTTTTGTTATTAAATATTTTATAAATGTAATTGGTATGAGTTGGTTAGAGGTTTGGACAAAGCAAACACAAAGCTCTGGGCGATCAGTGGACATTTCTCACTGTTTTCGGAGGGTTTACAAACCAAATGTGCATCAGTAGCGTTGACCCCATGACACAGGAGCCATTATTCTGCAAAACTACTTTTACCTGTAATAGAGTATTTTTACACTGTGGTGTTAATGCCCCCGCGACCCTAGTGAGGATTTAGTGGTGTATAGATAATGGGTGGATGGATGGACGGATGGATGGATGGATGGATGGTATTAGTGCAGCTAACAGATCTGGGAACTTCTTCCTCCATTGACAACAACTTAGTGCATTATTGGAAATTATGTGGTACATATTTTTAGCAGTAGGGGGCAGCTACCAGCAACACTGTCTCTGAGATCTAGTGGCAGCTTTGTGAGAGTTTCTGGGATGGTGTATAAAGAACATAAAGTCAGGTTTATAAAGTCAAAACTGTAAGTTTATTTCAAGTGAAAGTGAAATGAGCCCAGAAAGAAGGGAAATGCAGTCTTTCATACAGTAAACAGGTTGAAGGTTATTAGTGGTGTCTTCAGCTGGTGGCATCAATAATGACACACAGGTTCTCTGTGTTTCTCTGAGCTTTGCAGCTTCTTCAGAGGGGAAATAATTCCTCTCTGTGGCGCCCGAAGCAGTAAAAACTACCACTGATTGGCAATTTATGCTCAGAAGTTTCCCTAATACCCATACAAAGGCATGCACAGATGAATGCTTTATCAGAAATTTCTATTACGGAAATTTCCTCATCAAAAACCAAAAACAATCAGTGAAGGGATCAACTGAGAGCATCATCTTTTGTTAGTGACATTGCAAAATCAACTAAACTTAAACTCTGATGTTTCAGTAAACAGTACTGGAGGAACTCAACATGGAAAGAAAGGCTGCTGTCTGTGAAGAAGACATTGCTGTGACACATCGACACCGTGTTTGTGTGTGGTTGAGCAGATTCCATCGCCGCCCACTGCCACACATCGACAAAAATGAGGAGCAGACTTATTCTGTACCTCCAAAATCATGTCAGATTATAATGTGTGTTTATGTAGCTAATTCTACAAAAAGAAGAAGAGCGTCAGACTTCAATGTACACTGAACCCAGTGATGTCTATGCACCAAAGCTACGATTATTATTATTATTATTATCACCACAGCAAGTGCTAAATCAAGAGAGTGCATCTTATCTGTAAACACGTCGAATATTCTTATAGCGTATCAGCTAACATGACTGATATTGATGTAACCAGAAGTGTAGCTTCTTGCTTGTCAATCCAGCTCTTGTTCCACATTCTCTCTGAGACGCTGCTTGATATTTGTCCTGACAAAGAGAAGTTGTGTGTGTGGGAGAAACTGACATACCAGAGAGAAGAAGCAGGCGGATGGAAAAATAGTCGGACAGACAGACTGGATGTTCAGTTGGTTGTTACCATGGCGTTATTGGAAGATGTTGATATGGATTAACTAGATCTGGATTACTGTTTACCACTGAGTGTTTCTAAGGTGGAATGTGGACCTGGATTGGTCACCATGTCTTGGTATGACATTACAATTAAAAAACTTGGTTTTCCAACTATTGAGTTGTTTGTGAAGGTAAGCCATGTTGTAAACTTGTGCACGTGACTATTCCTACAATATGCACAGCTGCTTGATGTCCACTATATTCACTGTCTGTGAAGTTGTTCAAAGCTTTGAGGTGTCTTTGGGCTCATTAACCTGCTGCAGTTTGGGTTCTCATTCACAACGATGCAAACCAGAGAGTGGAGCATGTTTCATTGTAGGTTTAATCCACTGTGGTGTCTCGTTTCTGTTTCTGCCACTAATCTCAGGCTGAAATTGATCAGAAAATATAACTTTTTTCCAATCATCTGCTGTAAAATGCTGGAGTTTGTTAGTCCACTTCAAAGGTTTGGGCTTGTTTCAGAAGTGGTTCTCTGACCAGACAGCCTTCTTTTGACACCATTGGAGTCTTGTGTTTTTTATTTAGTAAGTTCTGTACCTGTGATAAAGTTGCTTTTCTATCTTTCCGTGAGCAAAGCATGATGTATTGAACTTATGGTCTGCCTAATTCTGCTTTGGATACAATTGTTTCCAATCTTCATACACGGCACATTTAGAAACCTTCAGTCTAACAATTATCTGACACTGGGAAAATTCCTCTCTGCTCCCAAAAAAATCTGACCTTTGCTGCTTTCACTTACTGCTGACATTTCTCTTTTATCACAATGCTTCTTAACCCTCTGAACTCCAAGCAGTTTTTTAGCTTTTTTTTTTTTTTTGCTCCTGTCACATTTTTATTCACTGTGGGCTCATTTTTCACGCAATATAAATATGTGCACTTCTGTGGAAACGACACAATCATGGCTAGAAAGAGAGATAACTTAGAAATACCATTAACGTTTAATAAAAGATGAACAAAAACTGATTTGAACTGAGTCACTGGCTTGATGATTGAACCGAGGAGCACATAGTGTTTTGTTTTTTACAGAATCTGGTGCAAGTGCCTGTTTTTTTTTTTGGTGATTTTTTAAACGAGACATAGAATGACGGGATTTTTTAAGAAATATCATGATTTTAACCATAGAATTTGTTGTTTTCCCAATGATACCTGGAAGTCACACATGTTACATTCAAGGACCATCAGAAAGTTCCAAATCTGATGGTTTTTACAGTTTCTTGCTCCAATGAATTTGCAAATTGATGATTTTATAAAGATAACGTGCCTTTTAGAGCCACTGTTTTGGGGTTCCGAGGATTTCATAAGCAATGTTTTATTGGACCTGCTATATTTCTAACAGGTGAAGAATGGCTTGATTAAGTTTAACAAGCCTCTGATGAGATTCATCTGAATGCTGTGTTAAAGTGGAAGCTTGAATAAAAAGAGTCTGAAATGCTATTATTTCTTTTTCATTTTACATGTCAGAACTTATTGTGTTTTTAAATGTTTCAAACTTTCCATTCTATTCTATTTCCAGATCTGCATAAAGTTATGACAGATTTTTGATGTGGACTCAGACTATTATGATTATTACTTGTCCCATTTCTTTGCTGACATCTTTTGTTCTATAGAATGCTTTTCTTTTTTTTAAATTGTTCCTTATGAAAGACCAAATCAATTAGATATTATTCATGTAAGAGTTATGGATGTATTCAGTAGCCACAAAAACATTAAATGGCTCCCTCAGTTGTCTAATGGAAGAATCAGTTTTAATGTTAAATCATTTCAGGAGCATCTGTGTTGGTAGGGTAGCTTAAATTTCAGATATGGCAATAAATCCTGTAAAGTCAGACTTATTCTTCATGTACATATGTCTGTGTGCAGGCAGGAAGTGATGGGGAGAGCATCGGCAACTGTCCTTTCTCTCAGAGACTCTTCATGATCCTATGGCTGAAAGGAGTCATCTTCAACGTCACCACAGTCGACCTCAAGCGGTAACGTTCTGCATTCACCCGGTGAACACATCTCTGTATTGGGAGTGCAGGCTTTTTATTCATTTTGTCCCCAAGGGCTACCATACAGAGTATTCATGGAAAAGCTTTTACTGTTTGCGTATGTAAAGAATGTCTTTGTCTGGATTTTGTGTTGTTAGGAAGCCGGCTGACCTGCAGGACCTCGCTCCAGGAACCAACCCTCCTTTCATGACCTTTAATGGCGAGGTCAAGGTTGACGTCAACAAGATCGAGGAGTTCCTGGAGGAGAAGCTGGCCCCGCCGCGGTACACAAACACACATTCACTGGCATGAGTTGACCAGAGGAGGCTAAGTTGATGAACTGAGGTTACACAAATAACTGGAAAACGTGGTAGATGTTGCCTTTTCATCGCCACTATCCACTGGGCTCATCTCAATCCACACCCTCGAAAGCCACTAGTGGGTTTGAAGGGCATGCTATCTTTACAAAAGTGGCAAAATAACACCATTCATCAGAGCCGTAAACTTTGAAAAGAGAAAGAATTGCATTTTAACTGTCTTCCACACAAAAGACATTACGTTCTCTCTACTTCTAGCCATGGTTGTGCTGTTTCCGTAGAAGTGCAGGACTTTATTTTGCAGTGAAAAATGAGCCAACAGTGAGCAAAAACGTGACAGGAGCAAAGACGCAAAGTGAAACTGCTTGGATGTAGAGGATACCGCATGCAGGTCCAGTCAGTTCATTCCTCTCATGTGTCTTCAGCTACCCCAGACTGGCTCCCAAACATCGTGAAGCCAACACAGCTGGTATCGACGTCTTTGCCAAGTTCTCAGCTTACATCAAAAACCCAAGAAAAGACACCAACGACGGTAAGGAAGTGTTAAATAACTATGTCCAATGTAAAAAAAAAAAGTTGGTTAAAGTGATGAACCAACAGATAAACTCTCTCTCTACTTTCTCTGTGTTTAACAGTCAATCCCATTAAGTACCATTCTAAAAGCATTAAGCACTGAGTGGAATTAAAGCCTGACTACATTCCTCGAAAGTGCAACATTTATCTTGGCTCTTGTGAAAAGGTGATAAAATGATTAGCAGTATTTTATTACAGAATTTAGAGAGCAATGTTCTTTTTTTCAAATAACTTTCAATACATGTGCTTTACCAGAGGCAAGGAAACAGGAGTATGCATTCAGAATTTATAGTCTACAAACCTTTTCATGTGTCTAATACAAACAATGAAAGAAAAGGGAGTATGTCAGATAAAATAATGAATTCATAACTGTATAGTAAGTCAACAGGTACCTTACAGGAGAAGAAGGCCAGAAAGCTGGCTCGTTGATCTAGGGATGTGATTCTTGCTTTGGGTGCGAGAGGTCCCAGGTTCAAATCCCGGATGAGCCCTATTTAGGCTATGGCTTTAAGCTACTAAAGGTTGTCAGTCAAGCGCCAAGTGCCCCTAAGCCAGGGGTGTCGAACTGCGGTCCTCGAGGGCCGCATGTCGACACCCCTGCCCTAAGCAATGTCCTTAAAACTATAGTTTCTCGTCATTTGTGGATTTGCATCCATGGACTGAACATTCTGGTGATGAATGGAAAAGGTTTGCAGGTGTAGTCACACTGTTCCTTTGAGTGTGACTCATGGGGCTCCCATTCACAGATTAAGAGCCAGTTCATGCTTTCTGCATCTGTGTGCACAGACCGATGAGGATTTTGAAAGAAAACAGCAGATGCACATGTGGTTCTATTCATGGTAACCACACAGATCTCCTGTGGTTGTTTCTGAAAGGCTGCTTGTGACTTTGCTCTTTTTACAGGATATAGCAGCGAGTCACAGACTGGGCTGTAGCACCATGTTGTCCTGCTGAGCACAGTGGACGGACATAGCAAAGGATTTGTGGAGAATTTGAAACTTCCTACTGTGTTTGGGCATATTCAAATTAAGTCCAAAATCTAAAGTGACTACTTCAGTGGTTCTCAAACTTTTTACAGTGTGTACCACCTGAGAAAATATCGAACTCTCCAAGTACCACCATTATGACCAACCTGGACATACAGTAGTGAAGGCTGACCCTATTGACTGTTCACAAAGGAGACGTGCTTACTCTGAATATGAGGATTATTCATTGATAATTGTTGCCAGCTACAGCCACACTGTACACAACAGTAGCATTATAACCATATATAACATAACAAGGTGCAGCACCTCTTTACCTCTCATACACACAGCAAGCCAGAACATTAAGAACAGCTGTGTTTCTTATACACACTCTCTCTCTCTCTCTCACACACACACACTCACACACACATAATAGGCTGGCAGAACCACAAATGTAACAAAAAATATCACAAATCTATAACATGAATGAACATTCACATTAGAAAAGTCAGCGCATTATGTCGGTATGAACAGCACATGAAGACCTTTTTGGTCGTCACTGTCACCGTCTTCACATGTGGAACCAAAAACACACACCTGTCTGAACAGAATTAGGCTCAATACAGTCTTTCAGTCACGCTTTGAACAATGTGTCCTTACTGTTAACACTCTGCTACTTAGAAATAAAACCTGCAGCAACATAGCAGGAAAAGGTGATCAGTGAACAGTTATTAAGAACCGGCAGCATGTTTACGACTTTTCCCAACTTACATGCGCCTAATGAGAGGGGTGTGCCTGTCTCTGCACACACAGTCCTGTGATATCTGGCTCGATCGTGATCAACTTTAGTCTCAGATGTGACTCAGCAATCCTGCTTCTGTATTTTGTCTTGATAGAATAGAATGCTTTTATTGTCATCATACACAAGGTACGACGAAATTAAAAGACAACTCCAGTGGTGCAGAAGTATAAAAGTAATAGTAGAAAAAGACAAATAAGAATATATACATGTATTTACAAAAGGAGGGCTACAAGGTCACGGGGGGGCTGGAGTCTATCCCAGCAGGGGACACCCTGGACAGGTCACCAGTATATCACAGGGCTACACTTAGAGACAGACAACCAAGCACACTCACATTCACACCTACGGACAATTTAGAATCACCAATTAACCTCAACATGTTTTTGGACTGTGTGGGAGGAAGCCGGAGAACCTAGAGAGAACCCACGCTGCACAGGGAGAACATACAAGAATTGGGACGTTAAGGTTCAAAATTATAAAACAAGCAAGAAACAGTCCCCCCCCAAAAAAACAATAGCAACACTGAAAAACAATGAACAACTGAAAGTTTTCCAGAAATAAACCACAACGAAAGAAAATAACGCCAAATAAATGAAGCAGTCACAAAGGTGCTTTTACAGCCTGCAAAAAACATGAATTTGCAATAGTGGGAGTGAAGGTGCTGGAATGAAAAAAGGCCTCAGGGTTGATAGTCACGCTAGCAGCTCTGTGAGGGTGCAGCATGGCAGCTGATGCACAAGAATATTGCCAACATGTTGTTATTTTGTGACTGCTGTTTAACATGTAGACTTATAGTTAATATTTCATACCCACTCCACTGCCTAACAACAAAAACATGAGAACATGCAAATGAGCACAGCGTAATTGGGAAATAAGCGAGCATAGAGTGCAGGAGAGAAGCAAAGAGTTTAGATACAACATAAAAACACAGTAATCGACCCAGTTCTTCTTTATTAGTTTTAAAATGCTCTTAATGTTTCCACCATTTTTTAATGTCCCTCAGCTTTAAAGTTTCCATATAGCAGGAATTGAGGAATGGCTAAATTAAAAACCTTCACACCCTAACAGCTTTTTCTTTGCAACTTCACAAAATTGACCATATGAGACCTTTAAAATGTGAAAACACGTCTAAAAGGCAGTCCTTTACGATGCTTCTTTCTCTCTGCAGCCTTAGAGAAAGCCTTGCTGAAGTCTCTTCGGCGCCTTGATGACTTCCTGAGGACTCCCCTGTCGGAGGAAATTGACGCTGACGCCTCAGGTGACCTGCCAGAGTCCTCCAGGAGCTTCCTGGACGGACCTGACCTCACGCTAGCTGACTGCAACCTGCTCCCTAAACTACACATCCTGAAGGTTTGGTCAGCTTGATACACGCATTAGTGGAGCTTCTTTAGATTGATAGAGCTTCTAACCAGAGGTAAACACCTTTATCTGCATTTTCCTCAGGTTGTAGCCAAGAAATACCGCGGCTTTGAGATCCCGCCGGAGATGACGGGAGTGTGGAGGTATTTGAACTGCGCCTACAAGAGAGAAGAGTTCACCAGCACCTGCCCCGCTGAGAGGGAGATCGAGTTTGCCTATCTGGATGTCGCAAAGCGAATCAAATGAGAGCAAGTTAAAACAAATAGTCAAAATAGAAGATATGAAAAGATGCAAAGAGGTAGAAATAAGAAAAAGTAGTCACAAGGACAAAAATATAGAATGATTGGAAACCTTAAGAAGACGAAGAAAGACGAGGAGAAGGATTCCAGTATATAGTCTAGACCGAACTGATACTAAAACATGTATTCTTTGATTCTACCATTGTGTGTGTGTGTGTGTGTGTGTGTGTGTATGTGTGTGTGTGTGTGCACTCACAGGTTGGGCTGCATCTTTATAACCATTTTACATATAATGATAATCAGTAATTAACAGGTTACTGGCAGAAATATTTCTTGATCTCTTTTGTTTTTTTTGACTTTTCAAATAATGGCAGGGCCAAGTTCACTGCAAATAAAAGTACACATAGTGAAACATTACCAGTCAGTATTACTGCATTATGTACTCTATTTAGAATTAGAACACTGGTCTTTACTGTTTAATCAACTTTATATTTAAATCTGTTACTGAAATTGATTCATGTAACTTCATGTGTAACATCACAGACCGTTTGATCATAGTCACATGTTTATATTCATATGAATATTTTATCCTCCTGTAGCAGCAACACAGGGCTGCAGTTGGTAGCAAGAAGGTCGCTGGTTCGCGTTATATATTTTGGCAGCTGGGGCACTAGAAATACTGCAAAATAATGGAAAAATAATCATCTCATTAAAACACAGTCATTTTCCATAATTAAGTCTCTAGCCTTAATTTGCATGAGATGATGTGTATGTTTTTTGTTTTTCAATGTTTAATTAAGGGTATTTACATTTGACAATAATCTATAACATTATTTACATAGATGGATGATTAAATTGTAATTATGCAAGGTATCTCTCAGTTAACAAACAAAGCTATATAAAATTACAGCACCAGTACTTCTTTTTCTGTTGTCACTCATTTAATTTTAGAAATACATGTACAGCAATAAAGTTCAATTTAACAGTTTCATCTATTAGATAAAACTGAAATATATTCTTAAATCACAATGTAATGTAAACAAAAAAAAGAAAAAAAGAAATTCTTTGTAAAAATAGAACTCTTGTGGTATTCACAGGTTTTTAGTGTTATTTTACATCACAGACACAAATTAACTGTCTGTTTCTGTAACTTTATTATTATCTTGTGTATTTCAAAAATCCAGTGAAATTCCAGATTTTTTTTTTTCTGACGGTGTAGCACCACTTCACAACCTCACAACAACTTGTTTTAGGCCACATCACACAGTAAAGTGAAAATATTATTTTGCAGAGAGAAACCCCTCAAATGATTCACTTTGAGCAGCACTTTGGTGACAATAGGAAGAAAAAAAATGCAGTTTTAATAAGAACAAACCTCCGTCTGCCTCGTCTGGTTGGGGTGAGGTTGAAGCGTAGAGAAAAACAGGACAGCTGCATTCCCACATTTCAAATAATTATTATGTAGGCACCATGTTATTGATGCTGACAAAAAAAAAGGTCAAAATTACAAAACATGGAACTTTAATACACAGCAAACACTTTAGTCAAAAAAAAATGATACCAAAGTTATAATATTAACCCTAAATCCATTGAAATCTGTTGGACGCTGCACAGCTAATGTTGCTGGCAGGTTTATTACACTGTTTAGTGCAATATATCACATAAAGAAGACCCACTGTAATGTGAGCATGCCTTACCGCAATATGTATAAAATGCATCCTGTGATTCCATTTTTGAATTTCTGCTTGATTTTAATCAATGAATCGGATTAAAATGAAAACACAGTAATGCCCTGCATCTTCTGTCTATACATGTTGAATGACTCTGATGTTGCTGACAGCCGTGTGTGAACAGACTGCTTGTGCTGTGATTGTTTTTGACGTGCTTGTTTTCTACTTCTGAGTGGCTGAGTGACTTTGCTTGGTTTGTTGATGTTCCAATGGACATATTTTGCAGTAAATCTGAGACCACTGACACTGTATCCGTCTCTTGATCAGTGCCCTGTTTTAATAACATTGTCCAACAATAATTTCATACACTTTACTTTGGGCATACAGAAAGGTAATTTCTATTGAGTTACATTTTTCTTCCTGAACAAGAAGACAGAAAAATTTTATGTCTGTCTTCTCTTGAATGCTGCTTTATTTAATTAAAAACACTTATTGGACTAAAGTGTCCCAGTGTATTTTTGCACCAAAACACCACTTTGATTGAGACAATCATTCAGTGTTTGGCAGAAATGGAGTGTTTTCTGTAGCAAAAATAACCCTGACACCAGCCTGCTGTGTTCTGGCCTTATAATCCTCTCTGAGGGGAGAATCTTTATTAAACTGATTTTATCACTGTTGTTTTTTGTTGTCTGTGTTTCTGTCCTCCTCACAGTTCTTACAGTTACACTGAATGAAGTAGGCCCTTAACACAAAATCCATAAGAAATCATCGTCACTCACCGAATCATCAATGATTTACATTAGAGCGCCTCTCAGTGGTAAATGAGTGCATACACAGTATCATGCCTCCCTTTCTAAGCTTGTTTAAGAACTGTAAATACCACAAAAACAATCAAAATGGGATTTGGCAGACAAGTTGCTGAGCTGCTATATTCACATACAGTAGCATTTGCACTGTAAAGCAACAATATATTCTTGTTCATGAAAAAATCACTGCTTCTTTTGGGTTTAGTCTGAGATAAGAGGCTGGATATCTGGATAACAATAACATGGTAAGGTTTTTCTTTTTTTTTTATTACTTCTGACAGCAACATGACATTAATTATGAGGTGAAAAAACACTTTGTCTTCGGTTGTAGTTGTTACTTTCAAGTTTCATTTGTCATTGTTGAAAATAGGTAATCATATTTCTAAGTATATTAGAAATCATTTAAGTCAATTTGCATTTAGATAATGCATTACAATGCATAGTAACAAACTTGCAAATGAATATTTCTTATGATTATGTCTTGAATACTGAATTTATATTTTATTTTTTTTTTAGCTATTCTCATAATACATTTTTTGCTTATGCAGCTTATGTAGCTCTTCTTAAAGCTCGGGAATCTGTTATTATAAAAGCTTTCTAAGTTCACTTCATTTGGGAAAATGAGTGCTCTTTGCTCAAATGATTCTAAGGGCAAGACCAACCATATTTAAGACACACACGAGCATGTGCAGACTCACACACTCATCACCAGGGCGACAGTGATGGTGACCTCTGAGGAAACTCTCTGAATGTAATGACCCACAGTTTACACACCCAGACAGCAAACACTCACGGTCAAACTACCATAGAAACATCCAGCGCAAGAATGTGCTGCTGCTCATGCTGCAGCAAGACTTATAAGGCCGGATAAAGTCACACATCAAACACGATTAACTGGAGAGCTGAAGTTCAAAACACAACGTTCCTGCAGGTTGGGAGATAAATGAATCAGCTGAAGCTCATCACTCAGTGTCCGATTTTAAAGTGACTGTAGCAGAGCAGTGAACTGCAGCCTAAGGCTACAATATGGCAGCTGATGGGACATAAAGTGATGAGCTATCTTCTCGTAAAGTCTCTAATAACTTGTGTTGCATGGAAATATTTATCTGAATTATATGTAAATACCACGAATTAGATACACTTTTTACCCTTTTTATCATTTGAAAATGGTTAAAGTCACAAATGGGCAGAAGGCAACACATATACTTTGACTTTTTTGTGGTGCAGGGAATCAAATCTTTAGGATGTCAAACTTATTTTTTTTTAAAAAGTCAATGTCAACGTGTATGTGTGGGAATTTACTTTTTTCAATAAAAAGTGACTAACTGCAGATCTATGGTGGCCTGCAAGTGCAAAACACAACATTTCACCAGAACAAATGAAAAACAAACACAAAGAGAGGAAAACACGTTCTAAACACCCACAAAAGAACTCATAAAAATACAAATGAACAAAACAAAGATCACATTCTTGGGGAAAATTTACACAGAAAAAAATTCTAAATAATATTAAAAAAAAATAATCAAGCTGTTGTATCAAAATATCTATTTTAAGATTTTTTTTGTTGTCTTTAGTGAATTTGTTGTTGTGTATAGTGGGAAATTTAACATTTTATTTCTGTATTTTTACAAAAATAAATCTGTAAGGTCAAACTGAAAACCACCAACATTTCACAAAAGAATTAATACAACACAAAATGTGGTTGTGTTTTGCACCTCAGAGCCCCCGGTCCTGCACCATAACATGTGTTTTGATATATAGAAGATAATGTGCATGTTTTATTGTGAGATCAGATTTTGTTCTTCAGGTAAGAAAACATGGAGTTTATTAAATGTTAATTAACTATTTCTGAACTCTCTCCCGTGAGTCAAGTGTGAAGCTGTCTCCATAATGAACAACTAAAGAGAGTGTAACTGTAGAAAAATAAAATATCAATCTTTATTGTCACAGTTTGCATTTGCCATGCTAGGGATGAACTTTATTTCAAAGTTGGCGCACACATACAAAACCGACGTGTGTCTGTCTCCTAATGGAGAAGAAAGGGTTAGGAGGGCTGTTTGTTCATGCCACGAGCGCACATCGTCTTCTTTGATTGGTCAGTCTTGTTAATTAATGAGCAAATGAAAAGGTCCGAGTGAAGGTTTTGGCGCCGGCCCGGTTGGAGGCGCGGAGCTTGATGATGCCACGGCGACAGTCTCCTAGCACTCAGGGGACGGAGAAGAAACAAAGGAGAGGAAGGGATGGAAGCTACGGTCATTCTAATGAATTCAATAAACCAAGCAGTTTATCTAAAACATAACTGTGAGCACCTCCGCGCCCAGTAAAGGCCCGCATGTTTATTCAAATCTTCAAAAAGTCGCATTGTCTTCTCAGGAACATATTACAACACTGGACAATAAATAAACTCTCCACTCGAAATAAATTTAGTGGTCCAGCTGAATTATACAAACTGTGTGCAGTGTGCTTGGAACGTATATTCTGGAGGGACTCGAGGAGGGAACGTTTTGAATCTAAAAATATGAGGGGGATGATTTGGTAGATGGATGGATGGAGAAAGGGACGGTCAGTTCTGGGAGCAGTACTTCCAGAAGCACACTGTGGAAGAAAGAAGAAGAGACACTTGGTTAAAAACTTTTTTTACTGTGGAGGATGGTGAGGGTTGAAGCGGCATTACTGTGCCACCACCATAAAGATGATTTTATAGCTAAAGGTAGGGTTTTCATGAATGTGATCTTATTAAAACTAGGCACAGCAAAGACACAATGTACGGTGATACAACAGTCAGTGACATAGCACCCTGTTAAAACTACTTTATTGCCTATTTTCCTCCAAATGGGCACATCATTTACAAAATAAACACGATGCTATCGTCAAAAAGTCTTGGTGAATGAGTCAAGGAGTAGAGTCATTTCTTGCAGACTCTTCAACAATTGGACTTTGCAACCAGAGGAGTCGCCCCCTTCTGGCTGTTACAGTGATTGCATTTGTAAGAGACTTGCATGATGGCTTCTTGGACAACCCGATGGGAATGAGAAGACACTTAGGCAGACCAGAGTTACCCTGCATCCGTGTACATGTGGTTTTATTCATATCAAATATCACTTTGCAGTCAGATGGTAAAAACTTTAGACTTGGGTGGATGACATCATGCAAACCCTTGTACACAATTGCAGAAAGCATGAATTGGGTCACTGCTTCCCATACTGAGCAAAAATGCTGCATTAATCCAACTTGATTGAGCACAAAGAGTAAAGAAGTTTGGAGTGTTCATTATGTTGGTGGCCTTCTGTAGAAAGAAGAGCAGCCCAAGCCGATAAAACTCTAGTCACCTCTTTTGTTGGTCTTCTTGGTCTGCGGTGGGAGGGACTTCCTAAAGTTTCGACCAGTCAGGCTCGGGACGATGACGTCTGCGCTGGCTCTGGATGTGGTGCTGTCGACTGCTGCTGGGGTCGCGGTGGTGGGCTTCACTCCTCCCTCAGCAGCAGGAAGCTTCCATCACAGCAACAACAGACAGAACGGACAGAAAGAGATGAATAAAAGCAAGCTCTACGCACATTCTTGGAAACCTTTTAAGAATTATGTCACCAATATCTTCGGTTAATTAAAGAAAAACCCACAATGGTCACAGAAATAACTTGAATCTGACAAAAGTAATAATAAATAAAAATTCTGTGAAAATTAAGCAATGAAAATCAGACGTTGCTTTTGAACCGTGGTTCAACAGAATTATTTTTAAAAATAAACTCATAAAACAGGCCTGGACAAAAATGATGGTACCCTTAGAAAAGACTGAAAATAATGCCCATAGGCACATGTTCAATCAAGGCCTCCAATTACTCATCAAAGTGTGGCTTAGACTTCACTCTCTTGCCAGATTGTGAACTTTGACACACGCCCTGACTATTTCCCTGCCTCGTCCTCCGCTATTCACTTTGGACCATCACCAGTACTCTGCTCAAAACCTCTGGACTCTGAACCTCTGGACTGTCTAGTTTTCCTGCCTGCCCGTTCTAGCCACAATCTGCCAGCTAAGTTTGCCGTTTGTTTCGTCTGTTTCATTTATTCACTCACTCAGTCCTTCCTCCTTCTAATTCCTCTCCTTGCCTGTTTGTACCTGGTTTTCGTTTGCCTTTAGTCCTGTCTCCCAGCTCTGTACGTCGAGTGTTAGCTCCTTGAATTTAGTGTTCATCTCTTTACCTCTTGCCTAGTTTTGCCAGTTGTTAGTGCATTGTGTCTTCCCATTAGATTCTCATCACCTTGCCTGAGCTCTGTTTCACATATTGTAAACACACACCTTATCAATAAGTGTCTTGGGTCCTCCTCAAGCAAACCACGACATGAGGTTTACTTATCCCTTGGTGAAGATTCAAAAGTTCTTTTCAAAGCAAGCATTGATGTTCCAAACACAATCAGCAATTTTCTTGATACGTCCATACTAAATATCTACTATTCAGCTATATAATGTGTGGGTTTATGCTCTAAGGAAGACTTTAAAGTCATGGAAAATGTTGCTTTGTGCCTTATGTAATTGCACTTTGGGCGTTATTAGAGAGCAAAAAAAAAGTATTCCCAGTGCAAATATTTAACAGGAGCTTACCACTTTATTTTTTCTTCCTGAATTTCTGCCATTTGCTGAAAAAAGAAACAAAACAGGTGTAAGTGAACATGTTCCCGATAAAGAGCTGTGGTCAGTCCTTGAGTTATGTTAGTAAAGATGTCATATTGTCCAGTGTCTGAATGCTGTAGCCAGATAGCAGATGGAGATTGTGCAAAGCAAAAGTAATTAAACACAATGTGAGTGTCATTACCTCGGGGCATGATGGTGATCCGTGAGCTCAGTGTGCTGTTAAACGCCCTGTGCAGCTCCTCCA